ATCTGTCTTCTTTTTCACTCTTCTTCTTCTCTTTGTTTTTTTTTAATCTAATTCTTGTTGTTTTCATTTTAAAATTTGTTTTTTGTTTTTTTTTCACAAAACAGTTTAAAGAATTTAAAATAGGAATAAAACCGAGATATTTTATGGTTAGTATTAAATTTTTCATCTAGAAAGATCTATTAAATTAGTTATGATTATTGTGTTATTGAGTTTAATTAATTTAGTGCTTGGTCAAGTGACAGGTTGTATGACAAGATGGTATACAGCCATTAGTGATAATATTGGAAGTTCGAATGGAATGGTAGCAAGTCAAGTAATAAGAAATCCAGATTGCTTTAATCAAATAAATGAATATAAAAGACTTGTTGCAGGACATTTAACAAATATGGAATGTTATATTTATGAAAAACACCTAACTAAACAAATTTCTGATTATAATTCTAGTAGATGTGGTCAATGTTTGGAAATTACAGGACCTACTCAAAGACCATTTGTATGTATGATAGCAGGAACGTTTAAAACAAAACCAAACCACAATTTAACAGAGTCTGATTTAGAAAGAATTGTATTTGTAAATGATGATAATTATAATTATATTGCAACCATTGTACATGCATCTGCGAACCATGCAACTCAAGTAACTGTAAGAGCTATTTCTTGTCCATTTCAGTACAATCCATCACTTGTAATAATTGGTGAAGATTTATTGAGAAAAGACATGGTAAAAGTTCAAGTGATTAATTCTAATACAATTCATAAGTATCTCATCTATGAAAATAAACAATATAGAATGAATAATGAAGATGGAACTTATTCACTTCCATTATTCACTGATAAAACAATAAAATTAATTTCATGGAATGACCGACAGATTGTTTTTAAGAACGTTAGTACAATAAACAATTCTTCATATTTTACTGGTGAGACACAATTTACTGAATTGGATAGGTCAAATCGTTGTAAATTTATCCCACAAAATCAAACATTTGGTCCAATAGTTTCAGCAATGGATAATTCCCCAATTAATAGATATTTTACATGGACTCCAACACTTCTTTATTCGAATGAAACAAAAAAAGTATTTAACATCTTTGGAACCAATCAATTAGTATTTGATAATAATTTAAAAAATGCGTTATTTTCTTTTACATATCCTTCTGTTATGAAACTTACAGAAATATTTAAAGTATTTGTTCTGTATTTTAAATTTAATTCAAAGGAAAACATATTAATTAATTCATTTAAACTTGTAATTGAAGATTTTAATGATAAACTTGGTATTACTCAACAAACTATTTGTTCATTAGACCAAATGAAAATAACAACACTTGAAAATGAAATGAAAATTGAAGTTTCTTTAAATTCACAACAATGTGAAGGATTTGTTAGTGGTATTCAAATGAACATAACAACAGGACCAACAACCAACTTAGTTTTAAAAGAATCTCAATTCAGTTATCAAGATACTTATAATGAAGTGAATCAATGTGGGTTTGAAACGTTATATTGTAATACAATGGAATGTACTCCTGAAGGCAAGTTTAGTAGAGGATGTGAACCAAATTGTGGGTCATGTGTTGTTGGGTATCAATGCAATTCTCTAGGAAAATGTGTGAAAAAACAACCAAAAAATACAAGAAATAGTGAGAATATTATACCAATTACTATGTCTCTATTTATTGTAATAGCCTTTGTATTCTAATTGAATTCAGGTGTATCATTAATTTTAATTCATCCATAGAAGAAGTATAAAAATGGATACAACAAATATAATTCCAAGAACAAACCATCTTGGAATAGTAAATAATTGTCTTTCTTGTTCAATTGTCATAGATGGACTTGAATCAAGGTTGAATAAATTTAAAAAATGAGTGAAAAGTGTTTCTTCACTTGTCTCATAATGTTGAGCCGGTAGTTGGTTAATATTATCTAGACCTTCATTCGAGTTATTCATTTTATTATTAATTGGGGCATTAGTACCATCTTCATTAAATATTGAAACTAATGAGTCTAACGTTATTGGATTACCACAAAAAGGACAATATCCAGGTACCTTATCTTCAATACATTTCCAACAAAAGGTATGACCACATTGTGTGATAATAGGTTGTTTAGGTTCATTATAACATATTAAACATTGTAATTCAGACATACTGTTATAAATTTTTTTTAGTTCTTATTTAACAATTCATATTAATAATATAAAATATAAAATTTATTCCTTCAAAAAAAAAATATAAAAATCATATATTCAGTTTATTAAGAAAGAAGAGTAATTAATTCAATTTTAGTATTATCAAAAAGAGGTGACTAATCTTTTATTTCAATAACCAAAATATTCAATGATAATGTGTTATGTAGTAAACAACATTATTTCTATTCAAAGCTATAAAAGTTGATTAATAAAAAACTTCTCAAGACTATAAATTATTGTTATTGAGGAAATAATTTGTTAAAACAACTTTAATGTTAGAAAGTATTTATTAAATGATAATACAATTAATATCTTTAGATAAAAAAAAGAACCATTAAAGTATGTTTGTTTATTAACTTAACTTACTCAAAGTGAAAATAATGTGATATTAAAAAGAAAAATATTTTCATTCATTAAATTTTTGATACTTTTAAAATAATCATAAAAACATGAGCAGGAATATTAAATTAAAGTACTATTTCTTGATCGCTAAATGAATCATGAGAAGAATTGCTTTTACTTTGTTCAGGGTTGATAAAAACAACTGAATTTCTTTTATCAAATGAGTTTTGAACACTTGATTGATTTTGAGACGGAGATACATTTAAGTGCATTTGTTTTATTATTCCATCAATTAAATGAAGAATTTCATCAAAGTGAGGTCTGTCTTTTGGATTATGTTTCCATGACTGTTCAATAATAGTTTTAATTAAACAATCTTGTGGTAGTTCTATTCGTTTACCACTTCCAACAAATTTTAAAATTGATTCTGAGTCTGGGAATTTCTCTGGATCATATGGATCTCTACCTAACCAAATTTCGGTACAACAAATAGCAAATGAAAAAACATCTGATTTTAATGTCATATCTTGTTCTCCAGTATTTAGTTCTGGTGCCATATACATTGGAGTACCAATATTTTGAATTCCTGTTTTACCTAATGATTCAATAAATGAACGTGAAGTTCCAAAATCTGTAACTTTACATACAACAGGGTCAAAAGGATTCTTTGAATAGACTAAAACATTGTCAGTTTTTAAATCACGATGAGTGATATCGTTTTGATGAAGATAATCCATACCAGATGCAATGTCATGACAAAATCTTAATTTTAATTCAACAGACATTGAATTGGTCTTAATATATCTTCTTAATGAACCTAATGGACAAAATTCAGTTACTAATGCTAATGTGTCTGAACTTGTTACACTTCCAATGAAATTAATAATAAATGGACATCGAATCTTTTCTAATAATTCAACTTCTTGAAGGAAATTAGGTAATAAATCATTTAAATCAAATAAATCAGTTTTCATAACTTTAACTGCAACATCAACTCCTCTCCATTCTGCTCTATAAACAATACCAAATGTACCTGAACCAATAGGAGGATGATGTAAATGTATTTCTTCATAATCTAATTTAGTAGATAAAGTAGATTCTGCTTGAAGAGGGAGATACAAATGGAATTTACGTATTCTGTCAGTACGATGTTTTTTTGATGACTTAGAAGATTGTTGAGATTGTTGAGATTGTTCATGTGAAGAATTTTTATCAGACCCTCCTGAGTTATTACTTATGTTTGATAAAGAAGAGAAAGACCTTCTTGGTTCTCCTTGTTGTTGAGAATTTTCAGAGACATGAGATGAATTTTGAGAGAGTTGATCTAACATTTCTGGATTTTCCTTTTTAATATTCTTTAAAATTGAATTTAATTGACCAAATCTAATAGTAACTGGAACACGTTCATTAATAACAGTTGTACATTTTAAACATACCATTGCTTGAATATCAACACTTTGATATTGCCTTAATGATCCAGTAACAGGTTTAAATGTTATATCATATTTAAGATATTCTCCTGCATGGAATGTATAATGAAGAACTTCTTTCCAATTATTTGTAATAGTAAAAGTATATGAATATACTTCTCCTACTTCAACTCTTTCTTCTTGGAAATCAATTGAAGGTGGATCAATTGTAAAATATGGGTTTGCTGACTTAATATCAATAAATTGTGAGTTTTCTTTATTAAATGGAATAATTGTTGTTTCAAAGAAAGGCAAAGCTCCTTCCATTTCTTTTAATTCCTTTTTAATGTTAGAAGTAACTCTCCAATGAACAACACCACTAATACATCCAATCAATATTAAAAATATCCAATAAGTTATTAAAATTCTACCAGCAAAATCTGCTACTACAAATCCATGACTTTCATCTTTACAATTCTTTGAATTATAGCTATACCAATCTTCTTGACATTCACATTCATAACATCCATCTCCATTGTCACACTCTTCTCCTTCATCTAATTTTCCATTTCCACATTTAGTTGATAAACAATATTCACGTGCTTTTTCATATTTAATATATCCTTCTTGGCAGAAACAATGGTCACATCCTTTTCCTCCATCACATTCTTCATTTTGATCTATAACTCCATTATTACATGTTGGTGGAGAGCATTTAGTTGTTCCATTGATAGTAATTGGTATAAACCCAAAATAACATTTACAAGTTGCTGCACAATGACTATCTTCTTGAGCAGATAAATCACATTCTTCACCATCATCAAGTTTACCATTCCCACATAATGAACATCCACCATTATCTACATATCCATCTTCACAAATACAAACACCATTATTATTACAAAATCCATGTTCTCCACATCCAAGTGGACAAACAGTTTTAAATGTAATATTAATAATTCCAATATTATTTTCATCTATTGAAACAAAAATAAAATAATTCTTTGTAGGTTCTAATTGAACAACCATTCGAGCTAATTTAGAATTTTCACAATTTGAGGCAACATAACGAGAACAAGTTGCTTTGTTTGATGAACATGAAAAATCTGTTAATGACTCATCTTGATTTACTTCAATAAGTTGAATAGAAACACTATAATTTAAAGAACTATTACAAGTATCTATCATAATAACATCATCTGATCCTTTAAGTTTAAACCATTGTCCTCGTAAAATTTTTGATACACAAACAGAGTTTGAATTAACTGAATATTCATAATTTAATTCAAAAGTGTATTGTAATTGAAGTTCATTCCAATTTAGTTGTTTATAATAAGTACTACAAGGATGAGCAATAGATGTAAAAAGCATTTTAAACCAATTAGTAATACCTTGACCATATGGTAAATGAATATGAAGATATCTTACTTCATCACTATTTACATAAACAACCATTCTAGGAGAACGTATATAAGCACTTATATCATTATTAGCATCAAGACAATAATTGTGATGTGAAACTGAATTTCCAGATGCACAATTCTTTTGTTCACTTATAGCAAAATCATTTCCAATAACTTTCTTTTGTTGTTCAGCAAATTCAATTTCTTCTGAGGTATAATGTTTATCTGTTTCTGCTACAATCCATCCACCTACTGTTGATCTTAAAGCAATCCATGCACCAAATACATAAGGTTTATCTTGAGAAGCATAAGGAGTACATCTATTGATTTGAATAGGAAAGTACATTCCAGGAGCATCCAAAGTTATTGTTTGATGTTCAGATGTCATCGTAACATTTCTATATGAAGTTGGTGTATCTTGCATTTCAAACCATTCTTTACATCCCCAAATACGTTTTGTTAAATTAGAACATTTTCCAATAGTTTCATAAACATAATTTTCTTTACAATTTGAACAGTCTTCATTAAAACCTGATGATTCAGAACATGAGACACATACATCTGGTGCTATACATCCTCCAATACATGCACTTCCATACATACATTGCATAATACATTTTCCTTTTCCATTAGAAGTAAACCCATTATTACAATAACATTGTTTATTACATCCATCACTTCCATCACACTCTTCACTAAATGAATCCCAAATACCATCACCACAAGTTCCAGTTTGTTTAAAATCATCTATTGTTGAAGAAGGAATTACAAATGATGATGATAGAATAATAAGTAACGAGAGTAATATCAGAAGTATTATTCTCATAACTTCTTGTTTAAGTAATTAACAGATTAAATCTCTGATAAAATAAAATGATTAAAAACGAAAAGAAGGTTTTAGATAGAAATAACATTTTTTATTTCAATGAATCTTTACAAAACATTTCTTTTTTAATAATAAAAATTAATAATAAAATAAATACAATTAAAAAAATCCTATAGACAGAGCCAATAATAACTTATTGACTCATTCTCTAATATAAGAACAGAAAATATTTCTAATTGTCTTATCATTAAGACTAATAATAGCATGATACTCTTCAGCAATTGTTTTATTTAAATAATCATTTATTAATTGTCCCTTTTCCATTAAATCATCGACATCCAAAATATATTCTCCATGTAAATAAACTCTCTGAATTCTATCAATTCTAAGACTTTTTTCTGTTTTTCTAGAAAGACGAGCATCAAAGAAATAACCCATTTCTAAACATAAATCATAAAGAATATTAATAACAAAAATCTTTTTATTCTTTTCAAATCTTCTAAAAGCAGTTTGTTTATTCATTCCTTTACGACATTCTTCTTCATATAATGGTCTACAAAAATGATCTGCTAATTTCATTACTTCAATTTCTTCATTATTAATTTTAATAGTTTTAACTTTAGGCATACAATGTCTAACAATGGTTTGTTTTCTTGGTTTTTTAATAATAAATTGACAAAATGGATTAAGAAGTCCAATAAGAAGAGCTTGTTGCATAGTTTCATAATTTTGAAGTTTTCTTTTATTAACAATATATTTTGGAGTTTCGGGTACTTGTTGTTCAATAGACATGTAGTAGATGTATATATTTTTTTAAATTAAATAGGTTTAAATAATTGTAGTAAATATTTTCTCTTTAGTATTAATTTTCCTTTTTACCCCTATTTTTTAATACAACGACAGTATCTTTTTTTCAGTCATGCAGTTAGAAATCATTTTTCTTTTTTTTTCTTATTTTTTTCAAAAAAGGAGTTTGTTTCAACTCTCTCAAATACAAAACTTATTTTCTTCTTCTATTTTCTATTTTAACAATATTTATGTTGATCGTTAATTCTTTGTTTAACTATTTTTAATTAAGAAGAAATTAACTACCTGATAACTCTATAACTATTATTTTCTTTTCTACCAAGAGTTTTTCCTATTTTTTATCCTTGAAATTGAACTATCAAATTAATGTCAATGTCTATATTTAGAATATTTATTTTAGTTAACAATATTTTAAGTATCATTTATTTACAGGTTTTTTAATTTCATAAATAAATAAGATAAATCAAGTCTTATAAATTAAAAAAACCATTTTTGATTTGATACCTGTTACTCCTAATCAAAAGAGGAATTTAGAAAGATTGACAAGTAAAATGTTAATAGAATCAAGAACGAATATTTGAACTATTTTCAAACCAAAAAGATTAAAATACATTATTTTATTGTTGTGACAATGTTTTCATTTAGGACATACCATTTAAGGAAGTTTTATAAAATAATAATATATCTAAAAACTAACATGGTATTATGTCACTTTGTTTGAAACATTTTTCCTTTAGATAAAATAAATTATCAGATTAAATTTCTATTCATTCTCTAACTAACCATTTATTATTTTTCTATTAAACATGACAATTGTTCTCAACTTATCTCTTATTGATGATAATCAATTTTATTAACACTTTACTTATGATAAAGTTTGAATTATTATTTATTTTATTTTCACTTGCATGTTGAAAGATATTTAATTATGATTTATACTTTGGAATATTATTTTAAATGGAATGAATAAAAATATCATAAAATGTGTTTTATTCAATAGTATTTCATGTAATAAATCAACAATTATCTTAACAACAAAAACTGTTTTATTAATAAAAATAATCAAAATAGGAAGAGAGTAGATGGTTTTTATCTGAAGTAGATATTTAATATTAACTACTCAAATTTTAATATTAATTATAAAAATTGAAATATGAACTAAAATGCATAACATTAAATTCCATTAGTAGTTAAAATAAAAGATTTATCAAAAAAAAAAAAAAGCTAAAAGTATAAAATCAATGACAAAGTTTTTATAAATAATTTTTTTTAATAAATTGGATAACATTTTTATCTCTTTTTTGTAATGTAAATTCTTTATGAGTAATATTTGTTTTTGAAAATAAATAGTCATTGATAAGTGTTCCTTGAAGACTTATTTCTTTTTCATCAGCGATTAATGTAGAATGATAATAAACTTCTTTAATAAAATCAATTTTAGATTTATTTCCTTTATTTCTCATTTTTGAAGTAAAAATAATAAATCCATATTCAAATAATATATCTATCAACATATCAAATAATATTACTGTTTTTTCATCTTCAAATCTTTTTGTGGCATTTTTCTTTGATAATCCTGATGCAATTACTTTATCATAATATTTATGGCATTCTTTATTTAAATACTCTTCAATTTCAAATTTTTCATTCTTAAAATTTAATATTTTTATATGAAATAATTGTCTTGTGGTACTTGATTTCTTACGGGGTCTCTCATATGTAATAGTACAAAATTGATTAACTAATCCAATAAGATATGACAATTGAATTGCCTTCTTATTTTTGATATATCTTGAATCTAAAGTATGTTTTCTTTTCTTTTCCATTGTTATCTTTTTCTTCGAAGACGTTGCTTCCATATTGTAAATTCTAGTTAATCAATTTTTTATGAAAGGTTTTAAAAATAATTTGAATTTTTAATTTAATATTTTGAATCTGTACTAGAAATGAAACGAGTGATAAAATATGGATGTAAGTCTGCTTGAACTAAAATAGAAGTTTTTTTTATCTCATTCCTTTTTCTATTATTAATATATTTATTATTCATCAACAATCCACGATAATTTTGAAAAGTTAATTTTTTGGAAAATTAGTTAAAAAAAAAATAAAAAAAATATAAAATAAAAACAATAAAAAATAAAAGATTTTGTTTTAAAATGGATATACCATATTTAATGAATATTGCATTATATTTAAAAACCATCAAAGACATTTATTCTTTTTTGTTTATTTCTAAAAAATGTAAAGAAGCACTTAGTAGATTAAAAATTAATCCATTTATTGATGAATTCAATGATATTGAATGTTTTGAAAAAACAATACATTTTATTCTTATTACATTTCCTTCCTTAGAAACCATTTCTGTTCCATATAAATTCTTTAAATTATTTCTTTCTTCACATAATTTTCATAAAAGAATTCAAATTAATTCACCAACAGTATTTGATTCTAATTTATTTATTACTTTAGATGAAAATTATTATAACAAAAATATTTATTCTTCAATTTCTTCAATTAAAAATGGATTTTCATTATTTGAATTAACACTAATGAAGTCATTAGAAAAAATAACAATTGAAAATATTACTTTATTAGAAAGTCTTATTTTACTTCCACATATTCAAGAAATAATAATTATTAATCCTATAAATGATGACATTAATTATTTTAATTCTACTATTAATCAAATGAGAAAAAGTAATATGAATATGCATATTTTATTTAAAATTATTTTAAAAAATACTATTCATTTATCTATTACAAATTATATCATTTTACTTAAATTACAACAATTATGTCGTTTAGAAATTTATGATTTTAGAGATAAATCTATTCAATTTTACACTAATGATTATTGGATACTTCCTTCTTTTATCACTTTACCTGAAATTACTTTCCTTCATTCAAATTATTCTAAATTACTTTTAAAACTTAATCAATATATAAAAACACAACCATTAAATATAAATTCTTTAATAGAAAATAAAGAATTATATGAAATCCTTTCTTTATTAGAAATAAATAATTATTTTATTCTTCCATTTAATTCTTATCAAAATAATTCACTTCATTTTCAAAGTAATTGTCTCAACACTATTCATTTTGTTGGATTAAAAAAAATAAATATTCAACTTCCACAAATTATTACTCTCCAAATAACATTATGTTCTAATATAAATATAACTAATAATTATTGTAAATATTTTATTATAAAATGGAGTCATCATTGTTCATTCAATTCTATTAGTATTAGTCAAGTTAAAATACTTCAATGTCATGATATTTCATTTATTAATAATCAAATTAAACCAATTGAAATAGAGGCAATAAAATTTAATAATTCCTCTTTATCAAATCTTAATTGTTCTTTGTCTTGTATTTCATGTTATTGTCTCACTGTAACAAATTGTTCTCTTTCATATCTTTCACTTTCTGATTGTGTATCTCTTATTATAAATTCAAATATTTTTACTTCTTCATCAACGTGTGTTCCTGTTTCAATTTATAATATTAATTCAAGTACAATTTATCTTCCTGAATCAATCGAATTAAACGCTTCATTATCTTCATTATTATCAATTATTTGTCCTTTAACAGATTTAATTTCAACAGAATTAATTCAATCATCTACTAACTCAGACAATACTGTTCATTTAAATATTAATAACAGAGAACTTAAACTTATAGAACCTTTATTATGTCCAATTTCATTTGATGGTGATATTTCTATTTCAATTTCACATAAAGTAAATAATCCTCTTAATATTATACAATGCTCAAATCTTAAATTATCTTCATTTGGTTACAGAATTAAATCCCTTATAATTAATAAAGTTGGAACCTTGACTGTATCTAATTGTCAAATAGAAAATCTTAAAGCAAATCATATTCAAAAACTAATCCTAACTAATAATTCACAAATACTATCTTCATCTATAACAAAACTTGATCATTTATAATTCATTAGTATTTCTTCTTTTTCTTATTTTGTATTAAAATTCTATAATATTATTATAACCTAAAAATAAACAAGTTAGATGCTTCTAAATCTAAAAAGCTGTTTTTTTCATTCAAAGTTACTTTATAATTATTTGTCTTATAAATACTTTCATTTCATTTGAAAATCTTTCATTTTTATAGAAATTAAGTATAATTCATTTTTTTATTCATGAATTATATTCAAGGTATTTTCTGTGAATATAAAGAGATTTATTATTTATGGTTTTTTTTTCAATATAGAATAAAGGTATTTGTCAAAATATTTAAATTCACCAATGTTATTATTACAACAAAATACTATAATATTTAAATACTAAAATTAAATTATATCATATAAAAATAGACTATAATTTATTATTACAATTATGACATAATAAATAATTAGATATTAAATTTGCTGATTGCTGGTAACACAGATAAATTAATAAAAAAACATTCTCCTCTTCTTTGAAAAAAGAATTTGTTTTTAAGACTCATTTTAAATTCAAAAATAATTAAATTATTGTTACTTTTCTTACTCTTCTTGTTCATTAATTCCATCAAACTTTGAAATATCATCTTCAGTTACTCTAACAATAAATTGAGAAGCTCTGATTAATTCTCCTTTATAAAAAAGATAAACATAAAATAATCCTCCACATAATTCTATCAATCCTCCAAATAAAGTCCAATAATTTAAACAACATAAAACACCACTTCTATATAATTAATATAAATTTACTTTCTTTGAAACTTTAACCAACCAAAAAACAAACAGTAAAAAGAAATATATCTTGAAATAAGGTTCATATAACTTTTGAATAAAAACACCATCCATCTGAACTGGTTTTTCAATGACATAAGTAATTACTGAAGAAACAATGGCTATTCCTCCAATTAACTGATTCCATCCAAACCAACACAACGAGATTAATCCCAAAATTAATTGAACTAAAACATTATATACTTTTGTTAAAATAAACACAAATATCCAACAAACATGGAATGGACGCAAGTGTAACTTTTCTTACAATATCAAGATAATCTGATTTATAATATTCTTCTATATCAATATACTTAGAAAGGAAATTGAAACTTCGAGCACGTATAATCTGATAAAATGTTACTAATCGTTCCCAACGAGTTGGTGGGTCAACAGGTGACATAAACACTAACCATAAAGAAAGTACCACTTTAATAAAGTAAAGAAAAGATCACTTTCCTTTTCTCTCTTTTTCAAATGACTCATCAAAAAAACAAAAACGAAAAAAAAAATAAAATGTTGAATTTAAAGTTCTTCATAATGAGCACTCAAGAAGGTGATGAGGATGATGGAAATCTTGAAGTAAAGTTATCAATTAGAGGAGATGGAGAAAGGTTTCATATTAATATGGAACAACCAATATTATTAAGACTTCCTGAAGATGAAGCAAAAGTGTTGAGAGAACAAATTCGAAGTGGTGATGTTGACTTTAATATTGACATTCCTCAAGGAGAAAATTCGGGTAAATGTACTTTTAATGGAAAAGAATTCTGTGCAACACTTGTTCGTCTTCCTTGTGTTGTTGAAACCCATAAATCATATGATGATGTTGCTTTATATAAAACTGGCGATATTGGACAAGCAATTATAATTCATGAAAAAGATAATATTCCTAAAATCGATGATAGTGGTAGACTCAAATCTGGGCTTACTCCTCCAACTAATAGAATTGTAAATAAATTCCAAAAGCCAATGACTCATGCTGAAAAAGAAAGAATGAAAGAACTACACAAGGAGATTAAGAGTAAAGTAAATGACCTTCCTAAATCAGAAGAAGATAATTAAATTATATTTAATTAATTTTTAGTTTTAGCTTTTTACTTTTTTTATTTATTTTCTAAAATCATAATTATAATAAATTTTATTATTCTAAAGTTATATTAATAAAAGAAAATGGAAAGTCATAAATCATCTCTTTTATTGGATGACCACCTTGTCTAATTAAGGCAATGGAGAATAATACTTTTGAATCACAACCAACAAGTGACAGTCTTGTTGGAGGAGAGAGGAGTAAAGGAGAAGATGAAATTGAAGTTATGAAATTATGGAAAGATAAAGTTGATCATAAAAAGAATTCAGTAGATAAAGAAATTAATGACACAGAAATTGAAGTTGGAATAGAAACTTCCAACAAACCTGAAGAACAAGAACTAGAAGAAGAATCACAAGAACAAAATCGTATTATTAAAAAGTTTGAATTTAAAGTTTATACAAAGAATCAACCTCAGTATTTCAGTCTTCTTAATAAAGAAAAAGAAGAAACAAAACCAAGAAGATCTAATTTTTTAAGTAAAAAAAGTATTGAAATAATTAAACTTCCACCATTTAATGAACTTAAATTACCTAGACTAGATGCATTTTCATCTGATGCTCAAACATGTCTAAATCAAAATATCCAATATCAACAACAACCTTTTTTTGTACAACAACCAGAAATAATTAATAATACCCAAGAGATAATACCTCAAAAAGAAGAATTCTCATTATATCCTACAGTCTCTTTTTCTACTGATACAGAACAATATGATTGTTGTAATTCTTTTATAAATCACAGTGAACAATATCTTCAAGCAGAACAACAATATCATATAAATGATGAATTTTCTAATTCTTTACTAATTCCAAATAAAATTGGAATTAATATAAATGCTAATTATCCATACCAAATATTACAAATGAATAGAGATAGTTCTATTATTCAATCTCAACAAATTCAAAATGAAATTTTAAGTGAACAACAATCTTATTTAGACTTTAATTCTTTGTCTACTTATATTATTGACTTTTGTGCTCAAAATAAAAATATTAGTTTTCAAATTACTGACTCTTATATTAGACTAACTGGTCCTAATAATACTTGTCTTACTTTTAATCAAAATGATCCAATAGATCCTCTCTTACATTTTCAACTTCCTATTGTAAATGGTTTGTTATTTGTGATTTCTATCATTTTAATTTTTATTATTCTTCTCACAATTATTAGATTCTGAACCATTACAATTAGAGTCTTTATCAACAACTCCTATCTCTATTACGGAATTACTATCTTTGTTCTTTCATGTGAATTAATTTAATTTTTTCTTTCTTATTTTTTCTAACTATAAAAGAAAATGCTCTTTTAGTCATTGTAAAAAATAATAAATGTTAATTATCTAAATAACCATGTTCCTTAATAAATGCATATTGATCAGGTATTTCTTGTAATGCTTTAACAGCAAATACTATATCTTGAAGATCAGGGCGAGCAGAAACAACTTCATAGAAATTAACAAATTGAAAGTTATCGAACTTGCTTTCAGTTAAATTATCATCATAATCTACTCTTATTAATTAAGTTGAAGGTAAATAAAATAAAAAACAAACTTTCCATCTTATCAAATGGACCATCTCCAACGCCAATAGCAACAATTGAAAGTGGATAATTAGATGCTTCAATAATAGCTGCTGTAGTATCTTTTTCATTATCAACTTGACCATCACAAATAATTAAAAGAATATGATAAGAATGTGTAGCACGAACAATGTCAATAGCTTTTCTAATTAATGGAGCAAAATTTGTTGGTCCAGACATTTGAACACTTGGTGTTATTTCATTATATCTTCTCAAAACTTCAGCAACTCCAGCACATGGAGCTTCATTAGGCATAAATGAAAATAAACTTTTATTAGTGGTAGTGACATCTCCAAATCCATATGTTGGAATTAATCTATCATCATCAAAAGGTTCTAAAGCACGTCCAATAGCATCAATAACTCTTTGATATGGATTGAAAATAGGATATTGTGGATTAATATAATGTAGACATTGTCCACCAAATGATACTTTTCCTGTCCATGTATTTGATTTAGTATAATCAACACCAATAAGTAAATTGGAACTTTCTAGTCCTGCATTTCTTAATGCTTGTTGAAGTTCTTCCATAGTTGAAAACTGATCAGGGATGCTGTGTTTATTTGATTTTGAAGTAGAAGTAGTTTTCTTGGATGAAGGTTTTGTATTTTGACTTCCCATAATTAATTCAATAACTTATGGTTTAAGAGCTATTGACTTTTATAGTTAAAAGAGACACAAAGAGACAACTCATCTTTTGAACTATAAATTATTATTACATTATATTATTCTTTTTTTAATTATTAAAAAAATGAAATTAAATTATTATTTTGTAAAATTTAAATTAAGCAATT